GTGTGATTCTTCCACGTCAGTAATATACTTTCTTACAAAGTACACCCACACATATCATATATTGTTTTTTAGAGGACAGATAAGGCTGCATATTTATATCACATATGTGTGTCTAACGCCTCACTTAGGACAAATAAAATATAAAAAAAAGAGGAAAAAACATTTAAAAAAATACTTTTTCCCAGTTTTGATTTGTAGTATTTTTTTACAAAACCAGCACAGCTAAAAAAAAATGCAATAAATACATTCATTTATTTGTCCTATTTATTTTTTTACACTTTTTTTTTCTTCACACTTTTCACTATTTTTATTTTTTTTACACTTTTCACTATTTTTTAAAAACTTTTAAATTTTTTATTTATTTAATTATATCAAGCAGATATTGTGAATTAATCTCACTATTACTGCTTGATAAATTAATAGATTTTTGGTTATTATTAGACTGTTTCAAACTTCAGAACAGCCAATAATAAGTTAGTGACACTGATCCTGCAGCAGTTCAGGATTCAGCTGTCACTAAATGTTTTCTGAACGTTCCAACAAAGATTAGAAAACTGGGATATGGGGGCAACCAGCACGGGAATGTTGTGAAAGTTGGAAAGATGTTATTTCTGGTGCAACTGTCGAGGTAGTTTTGAGAAAACCTTGTATTATTTGTATTGAATATCTTGGTAAGTTGTGGTTTTACCTGACATGGGTTGTCCGCAATAACAGAATAAAAAAAAATTTGTTTAAAGAAAACTAAAACATTCTTCTTTCAGGGATACATTATGTATCTATTCCTGAAAGTGAATGAAAAAAAAAAGCCAGTATACGATCTGAGAGAGAGATATCTCTCGATCTATACGAGCTGTCAGAATGCGGTTTTTGCCGGCATTAGATCTAATTGTCACTAATTTAGATCTAATTGTCACTAATAATGCAGAGTTAATCGAGGATATTGTAATTGGGGAGTCATTGGGTAATAGTGATCACAATGTGATTACTTTTAATATTGAACACAGAAAAGGGAAGTGTACTGGAAGGACTAGAACCCTAAACTTCAGAAGGGCATACATTCCATTGCATTTAAATACTGTCTATCACAGGCAGAATAGAAAATCCCCTGCCAGAATGTCACATAGAAGTACCCTTTTCCTCTGTGTAGAAGCAGTGATCTCTTTTGGGTCCACTCTTCGGTCCACTCTTCTTTACTTCACCCTTGTCCTTACTAATACAAGAATGTAGATGCTCTTTCTGCTTCCCAATCACTGTGATTGTAATATACTGTGCGCAAGAGATTGAATTGGCATAACTGCCTCCCCTTCAATTTCTGCAAGTGACCTCCATAAACAGGAGGACAGTAACAGACAACTTTTATGTTGCTCCAAATAGGGCTCTGCCTCATGCTGAAGGCAGGGATCTGGCATTGATTGTATTCAGCTCTGCACAATCTGCTGGCGCCATATAAATACTGTATATTAAAAATAATAATATCCACTGCTCTGGAATCATAGCGGAGCTAGCTTTGCTGATATCTGCCTCATTGTAAAGCATACAGCAATCTACATTTTAGAGCACCCCTCCTGAGCAGAGGGGGGATAAAGACAAACTTGGCTTGACTAGGCGGGTTCCATTACAGGTAAGTGAGACTCTAATTGGTAGTCTACTCTAAAGCCTTCAGCAGACACATGTTTCAAACAGATTTTGGTGAAAAAGTATTGCGACCTTTAGATTTTTATATTTCATACACTATAGTTTATCACTATGCTGTATGACGATGTAATGGTGTAAGCAAGCAACAGGAATCTTAAACATTGTCTTAGATGATCAGGTAATTTGTGGATAATTATCGCACGCCACTGGCTATGAGAAGTGCTCATTATAGCAGAGATAGATTTTATTTTTATTTTTTACATTCTAAAAAATGATGTGATTATATAGCAATTGTTCCCTTTTTCCAAAGAAAAGGACACTGCTATTTATTCATTTTGCATCCAATGGTTGGTCAGCGAGAAAGATCATAGATGCATCTTTTCATCCCAAATTGTGGTTAGTCTAAAGTTGCCATTAGAGAATGATCAGTCGAAATAAGCACCTTCCAACGTTTGTTCAAATATCCGGGCAAGAGTAATTTGCAAGTAAGGGTTCTGATGCTGAAAATTGACGGAGAAGATCAAACTGTTAGATTTTGAATGTTTATTTGTGAGAAATAAGATTTCTCATTATTTCATTGAAAGTAAAGTTCATTAAAAAAGACCTCACTTTAAGGAAGAACCACATTTGCTATTGTCTCTACGCTCCCAACTGCGTCTGGAGGGCATATGTTTCTGCTTATTTTCAGTGGATTTCTCTGCTTATCCTAAATAAAGAGTTGTAAAGAAAGAAGTTACCCCACTTATATTATGAGTTTTGAAGAGATGCAGCGATTGCAGTAACTTTAATAGTTTTACTTAATCTGTGAGAGTCTTCTGTTTGTTTGATGGTCCTTCGTTGTTGAAGAATGCACCACTCGCATGTTCACATTTTTTGAGAAAAGAAATACAGTATATGTAAACTACGTAGCTAAAATCTTACATAAGCTTTAACATGTTAAAGTGGACATTATCTTTAAAATAACAACAAACACACCTTTAGAAATGTAATAATGACCAGGGGCGGACTGACAACACATGGGACCCCCAAACAATAATAGGGTAATGGGCCTCACCCACATACAAGCATATACATTAATTTAAAAAAAAAACGACTTATCCAAGGACAAGTAGGGGACCATAAAAACTACAGCGGGGAGGAGGGGGGAGCAGGCTGCTACAAGTGATCTGGGTCATAGTAATAGAACTAGGGCTTTTTTCCTGGAGGTACGCATCGGTACTCAGTACCGGCACATACCGGTAGCCCTTTAATTTTTTTTTCTTTTTAAATATAGAATCACCGCGTGGGATGATGATGCTTGTCTGTCGACGTGTCTGTACACTTGCCATACAGACAATGCGCAAGTGTCTGCGCAGGGTGATGATGCTTCTCTTCTGGAGCCGTTTACCACCAAAAAGATGGCCGCCCCCACAGTAAACCTCATTGCCGCTGCCCATCTTGTGCACGTCCCCGCTACCACAACCAAAATGGCCGCTGGCATTGAGGTTTATTGTCGGTGGGCATCTTGGTTGTGGCAGCAGGGATGCACCTGCCCACAACTAAGGTGACCGCCGCATGCTTTTTGAGGGCAAAAAGGTGCCCAGAAAAAAAACACTGAGCAGAACAATGTCATATGGTTTCTGTGTCACAACTGCAAGCACACCAAATATTAGTTTACCTAGATTTTGCTTTATATTTGACATTGAAACAGTACGGCATTTTCTATTGTAACTATCAAGGATAGTTTACATGGAATGCTGAAGGATTTGCTATTCTAGAGAAGTGATCTTTATACACCAAAAAATTCCTCCGAATGACATTCCCATCCTCAGAATTCTTCCCAGTAGCTGTAAGAGGAATGCTCTGTGATTGTGTACATGTTTTTCCAGAAAAGCAGCAATGGTTTACTTTGTCTTTCTTTTCTGCGGAACTTTGTGGGTAACAGATTGTTTCCTTACCGTGACCTCTGGATTTCAAAGGCACCCCACTGGACAGGTCCCACTCTGTATTTGGTCATTACAGCTGAAGAATGGGGTGGCTGAAGGCCTGCAAAGCAGCTGATAATATAGCAGAGTTGAAGGGGTTGACAATCAACAAATACATACATACTTCTAGATAACAGCAGGCTTTGTATTCTTTGCATACCTTATTTCTCTTTTCTTCCCCAGTCTTCTGACAGTGGTCATGTTAACTAAGGGCAGATTACTAGCTCTCCTATTACTTCCTGGATTTCTGGCACATGTGACTAGACATGTGGCTAGGACATGTGACCATGCACATCATCTCAAGGGAGGAAAATGCCTTTCCCCGAGATCTTATGACATTACAGATGAGATTTTTCCAGCAATGCGCTGCGGATGACAAGGCAATCCCAGTGTGCATTTCTTTACCAAACTGAAGTAATTTGCATTTTCAAAGCAGGAAGTGAATGCTCTGCAAGTGTAAGTATTTCATAAGCACAGCATTTTAAACCTGACATGTCTATGTTATTATTAATCATCATACATAGAGGGATGCATTGGTAGAATTTGATTTTTGAGTGTAAAGGTCCGCTTTAAAGCTATGCCAAACCTCTGTTTCAACATATGCATCTTTCATTAAACTAAATGTTACTCAATTAGGGTTTACATGACCTTTAAAGCAAAATAAGGTTCCAGGTTTCCTCTACAAATGGGACACCAAACAGAACATTCCTTCGTAGACATTAAATAATGTTACATACAAACTATTATTACTGTGTACTTTAGCTGTATGTGTAAATCAGGCCATTTTCAGGGGCGCTCCTTCATTGCAAATCAGAATATGCTTATTGGCAACCATTGTTTATGTCTAGATTCACAGGCCAACATTACCACCTGGTATGCTCTCTGCTAAATATGGGTCTCTGTGCTTTCCAAATGAAACTTTGGTGAAAAACTCATCTGATTTCATACAATTATCTCTAATGTCTGTGAGAACATTTAGACCTCCAAGATGTTATACAAACACACATGTCCTATATGCATAGCAAGTAAGAAAAGACCAGACTTTGTGTACATCTGGCCACCATCTGAGGTCTATGAACAATTTTAGTGTGTGCTTAAATAATGTAAAGAAATACATGTTTGTAATCAAGTAAACACTAACATTTCAAGATTGTATACATTAGTTGGATCCTAACAGGGTAATGTATATCCTTCTCTATACAGACCAGCGAACACAAAGACCCAAATAGCAAAACTGAGACAACAAGTAAAGATCACAATGTGTCTTCACCAATGGAATCACAGACCGTTTCCCTGCAAGAAGCCAAACAGTGTCTTTCACATATGCAAGTGCTCTCCTGTCAGCTACTCAGTGATATGCAAAACAAAATGAACACAATAAAAAAGAATTCTGCTCTACACATGCTGAATCATAACAGACTTTACAAGAACTCTCACCAGTTACTGAAAGAAGAGGAAGAGATGAGGTTGGCTAACATTAGGAGAGTAGAAAATGAAGCAAAACATGAGCTAGAGGAGAAACTTCTGAACTTGGTGCATTTTGTGGAGTCGCTAAAGGAGACAAAGACAAAGGATCAAGTAAGCATGAATGGTGTTCGTTTAAGGACACTGTCTCTGTCAGTTAAAGAGGAACTGGATGGCTGTGAGCCTCCTGTGCATCTTCGGCTATCCAAAGAAATTACTCATATAGTTAAACCAGTGCCAGTAGAAATACAATTTGACCCAGAAAGTGCTCATCCAAGCCTCTGTCTATCTCCAGATCTGAAACAAGTAAGATTTGAGCCCTGCGTTCAGATAAAGAAGCTACAAAAGGACTGTTTTGAACCAGGGTTATATATCCTGGGAAAGCCTGGTTTTAAATCAGGCCGCCACTATTGGGAAGTAGACGTGGGCAGCAAGAGCAGTTGGATTATTGGTGTTGTGCAGGAATCAGTAGAGCGCAAAGGAACATGGGAGTTAAATTCAGCAAACGGCTATTGGGTTTTGCGTAAGCAAGACCACAATGTGTTTTATGGCATTGGGGAATCTTTTGTGACCCTGAAATTGGAAAAAATGCCTATGAGGATTGGTGTTTGCTTGGATTTATTTAAAAGTCACTTAGCTTTTTATGATGCTGACACCACAGAACTTATTTTTCAGATCTCTGTCAATGCTGGACAGAGGCTGTTTCCTTTTTTTTGCCCAGGAGTGCCCATGAGTGAAGAAGACTGGTGCCCATTAACTTTGTGCGCCTAAAGAAAAACACAACGGTTTTCAGTGGACTGTGCAAAAGCTGTGAAGAAAACGAATAGTTGCATTATTTATGCTTAATCAATTTACCAGTCAGTGCAATCCAGGAAAAAGTTAATGGACTCATCTCCACATGCAGTTTTTATATGCTAAGTCCACTGAGTTCAACCTCTTAATAATTGGAGATTTGGCAATACCAACTTAATCTCATGCCAATTTGTAGTTTAAAGGGTTAGTTCACCTTTCATATTTACAGCTTATGTTGTAAGTAAAAATTCTGCCCTCCGTTTTTCACAATTATTTTTACTTTTCTTACTGCTGCTACCATGGGCTCCCTCTCTCCAAGAATACGCTGCCCCTGCGCTCAGCTATGAGAACTTGGCTTGCCTAATCATGCATGCACAGTCCGCTTTCACTCTCACTCACTGCATAGGTGTGGCTAGGCAAGCTGAAATCTCATACCTGCGTGCCTGAGGGGCTGGGGTGGCTCATCCATGGAGAGGGGATCCCACAGTAGCAGTAGTAAGAAAAGAGGGCAGTATTCTAGCTTACAATGTAAGATGTTATGTATATGAATATTTGAAAAAAGAATTAAAGGTGAACTAACCCTTTAAGCTGAACAAAATACATATATGGTAACTGCTTTAACCTGCAAAAGGATTTCATTTTTGTTAATCTAGTCCTGAGGTATACCAGCCCATACAGCCAGGCTTTTGACTTGCCTTTTCTCTGGAAAACGTGTAACAGATTCCTCCATCTACGCTAAACTGTGTGGATGGAGGAATCTCCCACTGGGCCAAGCTTCAGTATCTTGCTAGTCGGCCCAGCTGGCTCTCGAAATACCTGAATAATCTGATTGGATGCAAGCATTGTTCAGGTATTTTGAGAGCCAGCAGGGACGACAAGCAAGATACTGAAGCTTGCCCAGTGGGAGATTCTTCCATCCACACAGTTTAGTGTAGATAGAGAAATCTGTCCCCCTTTCTTCATCTGACCATAGGAAATCTGCAGATAATCTATAGGTGCATGGCCAGCTTTAGACAGATGCCTGATGGCATATGCATTATGCCTGCATATGCCAGTGCCTTTTAGTGTATATGGGCAGCCTAAGTCAACAGCACTGGCAATCTGTATATTGTCTACCACTAAAGCCAACTGAAACCGTTCAAATAAATTAGGCCCCACAATGGTTAAAGTGGTGTAAAGGCATTTTTTTAGTATGAGGTAAAGTGGAGTAAAACACTCCACAATTATATAGTTGTTATCCAACAAATAAGGATAAATATTAGAATGGGGACAAACTGTCTTAACAGGGGAATTTCCTTCACTTTGGGAGATAGCCTCTAATTTCCTGTTGCATCTCCAGGGCAGGAAGTAAAGGAAAATCTCCTTAATGGTACACAGACCATAAATAACCTGATAACCCTTAACCGTTCCCTACTGATGAGGCATTGTTTTTATAAATAGCAGAAATTGATTTAGTGTTGGGCAATGGTGGGATAACCGGTACTATAAGCCGACTAGGGTGGGAAAGGCCTCTTTAGCTAGAACCACCCAGCTGTACAAGTTTGGTGTTTTTGGTCTTCCTTTGTGTGTCTCTTTATTTTTGTTTATGTCAGTTAATTTGTTTAAATCATGTTTAATTCAATGCTGAAAATAGTTGCCATCCATGTTTTACCAATTTGCATAGCAGGATCAATTCACTGTGGGGTCTGAGTTACTTTTAACTGCCTTTAGCATTATACACTACATTAATGTTTTCATTATTTTTTAAGGATACTACAAAATATGGAATAGTTATGATGAATACCTTCCCCAGTTTTGTTCTATGCATAATTCCTTATGGATTAGCCTGCTTTTCTGCTATTCAATTTCTTTTTTTCAATTGCTTTGTTTGTTTAACAGAATTAAGTTTAAAATATAATATATTTTATGTAAAATGGAATGTATTGAAGGAGGTCTTCTTTAAAATCTCAACAAGGGTGCTTCTTCAAACTTGATTTTTATGTATTTTATGTACTTTACAGGAAATACCTAAATACTATTAACAAATTAAATAAAAAATCACCAGCATCTGAAATATAAATTTGTATTGCAATCTTACTTGAAAACAAAATATACTCTTGGCACAAAATCTCTGTCTGGCTTCCTGTGGATTTATTTAGAGGAGGACTGAAATTCTATCACTTCAGGGCCTCAGCTCCCATGGTGTCAGCTCCCTTTCTGTGTGGTGGTTACACTCACAAGCTCTTTGCAGTCTGAAACCGGTGAATGCTTTACCTGATTTTAATCTCTTTTATATAATAAAAGGTTTTATTGCGCCAGATAGAGGCATTTCCTCTCTCTGCTTTTGTTTCAAAGTTCACATGCATTCCCTACAATCACTATTCACAAAGTGACTAACCGTAACGCGGAACTGTAAAATCGGACCTTTACCCTCTTTGACTAAAACTCATATCAGCATACAGCTCTGCATGCTGATATATAAATTATCTTACATGCACTAGCTAAACAAACATATTTTTTTTTAACTTGCATTTCTTTTCCACTTCCTGGTCCACTTTGGCACAAATGATGTAATGTGCCTAAGCATTGCATTCTGGGAAGGTTACATTAACAGTGCATTGCTGGTAAATCTCATCTGTAATCTCATGACATCTCAGGGAAAGGCACTTTCCTCCCTTCAGATGATGTGCATAGTCACATGTCCTAGTCACATGTGCCGTTCCAGGAAGTGAAGGGAGATCTAGTAACCTGCCCTAAGTAAAATGACCATTGTGAGAAGATTGGGGAAGAAATGAAAAACAAGGTATGCAAAAAATGTAAAAGCCTGCAATTATCTAGAAGTATCTGTTTGTAGATTGTCATTACTAAACATTTCTAAAGGTGCCTTTGTTGTTATTTTGAAGATATGTGTAAAGTTCCCCTTTAAGTTTGATTCTCTATATTATTGCCTTAGTCACTTGGAAAAGCTAGTATAATATAAAAGGAGTGGTAGAAAAAGCACTTGTCGGTTTAACCATTGTGAGGAGAGTTAGGATAAATGCAGTATGTCACCAGCACACCAAGTCACCAGTCAAAAGTTTAGAAAACGTCATTTATTGACGCATGTCAGAACAAAAAGGCACAGTTTTGGGGTGTCACTATGACATATTGTGGCTGATAAAGAGACCCTGCTGGTGAAATACTGCATGTATTCTGACTTCAGCTGCACCATCCGCAGTCACTATCACTTCTATAAGGGGTATATTGGTAAGGAGTGCAGTGGAATTTCCTCCAGATTTGTGAGTAGAGTGTCACATTTTTTTTGCTGCCAGGCTTCCCTTTAAAAATTTGTGAATTTGTTTCAGGAGGCTGGTACTTGGTTTTTTTTAATTTATTTTGGGGGTATATTGTTTATTATTTATGTTGATTGGGCATTTATTTAAAATGGAATTGCTTTTTTTGCATGAAGGCAAAAAGTGGGGTTTTGTTTTAGGGCTGATATTTGGGGGTTTCATTTCTTTTGGCTCTATTTTTTTTTGTTAGATAAAGCATTTTTGAAGTTTGGGTTGCTTAAAGTGCAGCATTCACGTGTTACTGACCATCTGTTCTTGGAATTGCCTTTTTATTTGTAGCATGCTGCTGTATCGTTTGTGATGTAAGTGTCTGAGCTCACAGCCTTATCTTGGAAGGAACACGTTTTTTTTTTTGCAAAGGGACATAGTGGTGGCGAGGTCTGGGATTTCTTTCTTACCTAAGATGAGTTCTCACTTTGCATCGCTGTCCCTGGCTGTGTTTGCTTTACCATGGCAGGGACAGCCTTTATGAGGCAAAATAAAAGTAAAGAAAAATGCTAACTAAATAAAAGTGAATATATTAAATATTAGAGGTGGACCGAAATTAAAATTTTAAAACCAAAATAAAATGTCGGACCGAAACCAAAAATTCTTTTTTTTTCAAACTTTAAAAAAAAAATTACAAATATTTTAATTTTTTATAAACTTTAAAAAAAATT